AATAATTTGCTTGCAGTGTGTATAAATAAACCGTATTTTGTACATTTTTCAGTTTTCCGAAATTTCCCTGTTTTTCACTTGACGAGGACCCAGTACAGCGGCTTATATTCACACGCAGTTTTATTGCGTTCATCCATCCAGCGTAAACTCAGACTCTCAGATTCTCCAAGGACAGTAAGTTGCAGGTACTAAATTCTTTTTTGTTGTGACCGAAAGTGGAATATTTGGTTCATGCGTTAATTGTCATACTGAAAAACAGCGCAAGGAAAGATTAATTAATAGACAACGCTATATAATGGTCTGTCAGATTATAGACCCATACCGATGTTTCGGCCCGAATCTGACGTGCCGTTTTCAGGGTAATCTTGGATCGAAGCTCGACGGCGTTTAGATCATCTGGACAATGTGGTTTGGTGCAGCAGCTGCAGACAGCGCGAGCAAACTTAGGCCTAAGATTTGTCTCGAAGAAGCACGTGTTATGCGGTTCGAACAGTTATAACCTGGCAGGCGATTTTATTGCGTGGTATATTTATAAAACAGACTAGATCTGATCTACGTACATGTGCTGTGTGATGATACTCGTGTTTTTGTGTTGCTTTTTCTCTCTTAGTTGTAAGTGTATAATTTTTCCGTATATTTAGCTTCTTTTTTGCTGAAGCGCATGGATTTAAGATGCTTGTAAGCGGTAAGATTAGTAACAAAATTATCTGAGAATTGTTTAACGTTGTTGCGAAGCCCATAGTTTAAGTTTTTCTCATAGTCTAGACTGCTATTTGTGAAAGTATGCCCAGTTTCAAAAAAAATTGTCATGTACCATTTATACCTTGCGCTGGATTTTAGACAGCTGTTGAGTGGGTCAAGGCAAATTGCAGTCACGGGGCGCGTTCAAACAGCATGTCCATAGTTTCGCATGCTCTAGCCTGATTCCATCAGAACGTCTTTTGTCTCTATTGTTCGCAGGTTAGCGCTTTGCTACTGTATTCCCTGTTGGGTGCACTGGTGTACAGTGGGATGAAATCCTCGCTCAACAGATTTAGCAGTTAGTAGGAGAAGTTTGCGCCTCGTTGGAAGTATCCAGCTTTTCTGAATTGTGAAAACGAGCTGTAGTCCACTGAGCCGCTTCTTCAGCGACATAGTTCTATATGCGGCAGGTCAGTATGTTTCCAGTGGTTTCGAAGCTCAGTTTAGTCTAACGTTTTGTCGAACGCAAAACATCTGTCGTCGTGATCCGGGTTTCGCTAGCGAAGAAGTGTTTATCTCTGCAGTCTGCTGCCGGCCTTTGGAGCGATGCCATACTTTGCGCCACTGTTCGTGTGTGATGTTGTGGTACTCGAGTGCATTTGGTATACAGTTTCGATAAGAAAATTGATTGTGAAGTCTGTTACGCGTAGTCAATTTTTTCAGCAGTATCGTTAGTACTATCATTAGTACAACCTCCAGAAAGGAAGTTTAAGCAACTGTTTCTTGCCAAGCCGACCGGCAGAAGGCCCAGGGAACGGCCAAGGTTAACCTGGTGCAAATATGTGGAAGGAGTCTGCTCCAGACTCCGGTTATCTTCTGTCGAAGCTCGAACCTCAGACTCTGGCACAGGATCAGGAACGTTGGAAGCATTGTCTGACGTGTCTACCTCCGCGATCCGAAAGGATAAGCGGTCATGGAAGATGAAGATCATTAGTAAAGCATGATCCTTTTTGAGTGGAAATGGTATTACGGTGTAGTTGATGATCGCATCCGTAGTTTTGCCCCATCGAGAAGGCAAGTAGTGTTCGACTGGCTACAGAAAGTGAATTAAGAATTTCCTGTCGAGCAGGCCACCAGAATCAAAGGTTTCGGTGTACCCTTTTTGTTTGGTCAATCAGACATGCGCAGGGGTACTTACGTATCGCGTAGTTTAGCACGCGCGTGAATCCCCTGAAATTTTCCGCGTACTTCGTGTGGCGGTATGTGACGCATTTTACCGCCTGACGTTTTGCGTGTAATCGCGTTGCTCGTTGCTTGACCAGCAGCACTTGTTCAGCGTCATGTTTTAGCCTCGACGGATCATCTTTTCAACTTCACGCAGTGATGGGGAAAGTGAAACGCTTCGAAGTGCTGTTCGACAATGGTGTAGGTGCTTTCTACGCTGGAACACAGGTGTCCGGAAAAGTGCTGCTTGAACTTAGTGACAGTATCAAAGTTTACGGTATGCCTATGCTTGTCATTTAGTTAGCTCCTTTTCAGCGATTATTCGTCAGGCAGAAGACTACTGGCACGTTTCTGTTTCTGTTTCCCCTTTTTCGTTTTTCTGTTATGTTCCCTATAACAGCAGTGCGCTGTTTAAGTTAACAACCTGCACATTTTTCGCTCTTTGATAAAATCTTC